TTCGGAGTAAAAAAAAATCCAATATTCTTCCTATTTTTCTTGGATCGGGCTTTAAAGGGTTAAGAGATTTTATATTTCCTCTCAATGCTTCTACTAAACCTTCTTGCCTCATAATGTTCACGTGTCCGTCTATATGTGGAACACTTTTGTCCAGATAAATCGTTAAAGGATTAAAAGACACTGACGCACAAAATTCCTAGAATTAGGATCATCCTCTCTTTCCACGGTGGGACGGACAGGACCCGGCAGGTTTATCCCAAAGGGATCTCACCAGAGACAGAGAAGCTTCTAAAGGAGGAACCTGGATTTTCCTAAAATGTGAACGTTGAAGAGCGTTGTGGAAAATTTACTTAGGATTGCTGCAAAAACATATTTCATCCATGATTGCACAAAGCAACATATTCAAATACTCCTGTGTGTAATCAAATATTTGCAATATTTGCATTTATAGCATATGGAAAACATGCAATAACAAACTAAAACTGGGCAATAACTCGTTTAGTTTTAGTCGATAGACAATATTTCAAAAATTTTGCCTGACTTTACCAGCCACCACAACTTGTGACAAAAAGAAACAAAATATGGTTTTATCACTGGCAACTTCCTCCAGAAAGCAGATTTTTGTGGATCCTACAAATATTTTGAATGAAGGAAGGTCCCAGGGGAAATGAAGAGAATAACATCTTTCCAAATGAGGGCAGGTTTTCCCCACGTTGGAACCTGAAATTTAAGCATTTTTCTGAAGATTTCTTGCATAAAACTTGCATTTGTTTATATATAATTTGGCTTCAGATAAGTTCAGTTTTATTTACAAACAGTAAAGACACTTGACCAGAAAACCAGCAGAGCTCTGACAAACTGGTGACAGTCTTTGTTCAGAAACAGCCTGAATGGAGAGGACACAGCCCATCAATTGCTCCGTGGCCCCCTATGAGTGGGTCAGGAAGCCGCCAATATTTCCTCTTTATTAAAATCAACACGCAGCCGTAAAGGGGACCTCTGAGGTGAGTTTGAAACACTGGAAACCTGAGGTGAAGGGTACCATTTAGAGAGCTGAGAGTTAGTCACACAATCCGTTTCTCTCCAACTAACTCATCTGCACTTCCTCATAAGTCTTTAGCGGGTGGTTGTTGGAATAATATGGTCTCTTAGGTCCTGGAAGAGTTCTGTAGAGATCCAAGCCTGTTTTTTGTTTTGTTTTGTTTTGTTTCTTATGTTCCTTTCTGTTGTATTAGGTTGCAATATATCCTTTTACCTTTATCGGACTAATGTACCTGCTTCTCTTTATCCCTATAATGCCAAATGTGTCATATTTGATTCGTACGGTTTCTGAAGTCTTTTGGATCTGAGCCTTTTTGCATCATTCAGTGGTAAAAGCTTTGCTCAAACCCCTGTTGTACACATTCAGATATACCTGATAACAGCCAGTAGAAGACTACCCCAAAATATATTTCTGACTTATTGCACGCTAATTTGATCAAAATAATTTCTGTTTTTATTTTTCTTCATACGTTGTTTGAAGGGCCAAAGAAAGACTTCAGACTAAAAAAAATCCAATATTCTTCCTATTTTTCCTTAGATCAGGCTTTAAAGGGTTAAAATAATTGAAAAAAGTTGCAAAAAAAGAAAAGTCTTAAGCGGGTGGCTCCCAAACTCTCCTCTCCTCGTCACAGGTCAGATTTGGGTTGAGTTTAGAGGACGGCAGCTGCTGGGCGGCGCCATAACCCTCCGCGTCCCCTGACCTCAATCTGGAGCCGGCGCGCTGAAGGCCCGTCCGAGGGAGAGGTATCGATCTGAGCAGAGGCCTGGCAGCACCAATAAACAACAGGCTCCAGGCTTCAAGGCTGAGGGGACGCGTCTCTATATCAGCAGGAGCCTTTCAGCTGGACACCTGGACAGATGGAGGGATGTGCTCCTGCCTCCTCTTTTCTTGGTTTTTTTTAGCGCAAATGGAGAAAAACCGTACGACCGGACTCTGATATTTTCCTCAAAAGTCCTCAAACTCTCCCGATTGCCTCTGAATAATCACCGTTAATGTTGTAAATAGGAAGCTCCCCAGCAGCAGTCAATACGTGAAGGAGCGATCGATGCCTAACGAGCAGACAAACACCATTTCCAGATCTTCTATATCAGCATTACAGTGGGAGAAGACAGTGCTGACTTCGGCTCATTAATCAATAAACAACAGGCCAACCAATACATCTGACATAGACTAATGAAATAATAATCATCTTCAGGGAACGAGAAGGAAAAGTGAGACGTGGGTTCATTTGTAACACACAAACAAACAAAAAAAAAATACCACTGAAGTGAGGGCCGGACACAATTTTTGCTTTCTCGTTAGCTTGCATTTCCCTCTTTGCTGAGAAAGTTAAATAAGTGTGCCTCATATATTTAGAGTCAAACCCAGCTCACTTTGTGCTAAGCAGCTTGTCGATAAGGAGGAAAAAGGTAAAGAGCAGGAGAGGAGGTCTGATAAAACGCCTCTTAATTACCAGACAGTGAACGCAGGCCTTCCTCTTCCACTTTCCCCTCCCAGCTAAGTCAGGAGTTTGATTTCTGATAATGTGGATTGCTGACTGGGCTCCGCCGTGTTTGGCCCTAAAGCAGAAGGACCTAACGGCGGGTCCTGGGAGAGCCTGTTTGACAAAGTGCCATATAGATCCTTCGCTTTTCATCAGAGGCCGCTGCTGCCCGAGGCATTAATCAGGCCCGGCTTTGTTTCCACCTTTACTCTCCTGTAACAATTAGGCAAAGTAATAATTCCAGGCATTACATGGAAATCGAAGGGCGTTTAACCCGTCTGTAAGTGATGAGATGGGGCCGGACGGCGTCGATGGCTGAACCTGTAACCTCTGTGTGAAAACAGCATGTTTTCCTGTCAATTGGAGACAATGGACAGCCGGATGGATCATTTACTTCTAATGGCTGTCATTATTTATTCATTTTTTTGTCTGAAAAGCTGTTGCCAATACACATGAAATTGAACAAGAACAAAATAAAGAACATTAACCAAAAAAAAAGGTGTAGACAGGAGCACAAGTTTTTTAAAAACCATTTTAAATTCTACAGTTTTTACAGTTTTGGTCTGAAAAGCTGTCTTCAATACACGTGTAAAATTTAACAAGAATAAAAAAATAACATTAACCAAAAACAAAAAGAGGTGGAGACAGGAGCACAAGTTCCTTAAAACCATTTTGAATTCTACAGTTTTTACAGACATTTTTCCAAAAAGTTTGCAGAAACAGACGAGTGCTCAGTCAAAACCGATGTTCTACGTTCAGATTTAAGGTTTAAAAAAGAAAAATTACTTGCAGGAAAGTTCATCGCGAGGGCAAACAGGGCTGGGGACGGTTGTTTGGTTGTTTTGCAGCCCTGTGAAACCCAACCTGCACACACACACAGACACACACACACACACACACACACACACACACGCACACACCCTGGATATTGTTTTCAGGTGCCAGATCTGGGCCACGGGGAGAAGGAGCCAGAGCGAGCTTTAACAAGCTCTTATCAATACACATAACCCCGGATCTGTAAATTAACAGAAGACAAGACTTCACTTTGTCCGGAGATCAATGTCTCTCTGTTGCAATCAGAGCTGAGCTGAGAGAGCCACGCGCCTCCTCAATCATAAGGCCGTTTTAAGCTCTCCTCCCTTTTACACTCAATTATACTCTAATGACTAATGCCAAGTGGAAACCTTTAAATACTAATGCTGTGTTAATGGCCGGGGAAAGGAGTGGAAAGCCTTTGGAAACACTCTGAACTGGCCTGATATTTGTCTGAATGACAGTGTGGGATCTTTGGTTTTTGACAACATTGTAGTGGTTTTCTATCTAGGAATATTTACCTTTACTTGAACTCTAAGAAAGCAACGTGATCGGTCTGATCGGATGCAGTCTAAGGTTTCAGGCCTCCCACATGGCCCCTGGTTTGGAGGAGGAAACCCACAAATATCAGGCTGTGTATCTCAGATTATGGATGGAAAATGCTCCTGTTCTTGGGGACATGTGTTAGGATGTAAATTATATTTTGGAGCGTGTTTCGGTGTGTGATGTTTAATTGTTTGCTTGCACAGTATGTCAGATTTAAATCATGTAATTCAGAGACACAATCACCTCCCAGTCCATGAAACGGGTTTCCTGATAAATTTATACATGAAAACTTCTGTGAAGCTCTCTGGATTTCTCCATTATTCCATGTGTTTTTATCAGGATTTAAACCTGGGACCTCGTTCACCTTGGGTTTCTTAGCACCACCAATATCTTATTTATCATTTGTAACTATGATTGAAAATAGGTAAGTATTCTGAACTCTTCCAGCCATCCAAAAACATGTGTTTGGGCCTATTTATTTGTTTTTAAATGGACTTAGGGTGAGTAAGTGTGTCTAATGTACTCCTGGTGTTTTCCTTAGCAGGTGGGAGAGACCCCCTCTGTTACCCTGAGTTACAATAAGCAGTTATAGAAGATAAATGTATCATAATTATAATCAGAATCAGAAAAAAACATCCCCTATCCCTGTGGGGTAAATTAGGTGGGTGAAGAACAGCACATTAAATAGAGCAAGAGATGAAAACACTCGAGGGTGGGTGGGCAAAAAGAAGCAGATTGTGTTCAAAGTGACAATCTGAGTGGTTCTGAGGCCGTAATAAGCCAGAAATGTCCATCAGAACTAGAAATATTTAATTGCCCCATGCTGTAAAAAATGTGGTGAATGATGCAAATTAACAAAAAGTCCAAAACAGCAGAATTAGTTTTTTATAATGTAAAAAACAACAACTAAAAAGCAGATTATAAATTAAACATTAGGTAAATCATATTCAGTCAATGACAATGTACTGAGAGTATGAATTAAAGGATTAAACATTGATTCATGCAGAAACCGGTGGGACTGAAACAGACCAGAGTAGGAACGACCAGTTGATCTCTTGGTTTAACGAAACCTGTCAGATATCACCGTGACAGCCTTTTATTCTGAAGTCCTCTGACCGGATGTTGATTCGGAAACGCTGCTGGAACAGTTTCCTCCAAACTAGCTGCCTGGCTAACCCGCTCCTATGAGACAGTGTCAAACTTTGCCCCGGAGACCGGGACAGCTCGCTTTTCCTGCCTGAGTTAAAGCTCTGTGGCGGTTATGACGTGACACGGCCGTTGGCGCCGGTGGAGCTCAACGGCTAACGGCTTTTAACGGTTTCTAACGGCTCCGCATCGCTGATGAAGCGTCCGAGCTGAGCGCGATGCTAGCACGCGCCGCTAGCATCCCACCGCAGGAAATTAGCCCGTTAGCATCCGCAGCATTATGACTTTTAAGCGTCTCTCTTTATGCTGGTTTTAAATAACACCTGCGACATGGACACCGAGGCGATAGTGATCCGCATCAAGACGCCGTTAGGCGACATGGACTCCTCCGTGGACTGTCCGTCTCTGCTAAACTTCAACGACCTGCTGGTGAGTCTCAAACTAGCCTGGGAGCTAGCTGTCTGTGGGGTTTCACTTAAAAAGGCTCTTTTCATTAAGTACGTCCATCATTCAGGGTGACTGACACCAGCTAGGAGTCGCGTGTTTTAAAAGATTGTCTTTTAAAACGCGTCTCTCTTTATTGTCATTAAACCCCTCTCTCTGTTAAAGAGTTGTAAACTTTTCTGACAACCCCTGCTAAACATTTCAGGTCGCCATCAGAGATGTGATGCCCGAGGCCACTGTCACAGCCTTTGAGTGTAAGTTCCTGTTTTCCGCCTTTTTGCTTCAAGGTAGAAAAAGTCTGCCCCTAACTCTTAGAATAACCTGTGTGTAGTGTTTAAAATGGAAAACCTCCGTTGTGCACACCAAAACATCAGTCCTGAAACTTGAATACTTCCCTATAAGTTAACTACACTCTCAGAAATGCTCCTTAAACAGGCCAATCTCTGCTTACAGAAGCCATAGATTCAGATGTAATTACTTCTCAATTTTGAAGAATCAACAGTAGTTGGTAGTAATCTACGTTATAATGGATATCACAATAACACTGACCTGTTTTATTTGTTTTAATTGTTATCTTTCATATTAGATGCCATCTTTAGCCACAATATGTCCTCTGTCAAGTAGTTTAACAAGCTCTTTTCTTTAGCTGATATTTGTTTTAGAAATACAAATTACAAGAGGATTCAATGTTTTTGTTACTTGTTTCTAACAATGAATGAGAATAAAATAGATAATTAAGCCATTTATTAAGGTAGTTTGTTCAGTCATTAAAGTGAAAATGTTTTGTCAATTGAGCTTTGAATTAAATTTTCCCATTGTACGAGATAAAAAGGCTTAATGAACATTTCCAAATGAGGTGAGTCTGTAGTTCTGTAGATCTGATCTGTAGATCCAGAAGTTGTGAGAAACTTTAAAGCTAAATAACTTTCACTACTAATCAAAGTTGAGGGTGTAAAGACATTTGTAAACTAACAAGATTCCAATTTATATTTTTATTTTGTTATCGTCTTTGCTGCATGTGATACACAGCAAATATCATAGATTGTGTAACCTTAAAGTTCTGTATTTGGTTTCCTGGCACTTCTTTCCATAATACCCATTCTCTCGTACGTTTCCAGCGTCAGCATGGCCCCTCACATTTAACCTGTAATGAGCTGGGCTAAATATCTGGTTACTATTTACATTTAATGTTCTGATTCACTCCCATATTCATTTTGAGATGTTTGTTGATGGCTAACTGTATGTGAACTAAATGTATGGGACCTAAGTAACATATTACGCTATGTGATATGTTAGTTGGGTAGACCAATCCTACTCGTTTGCTCCTAATTACCAGTTCATTTGAAATAGTTTCCACTTTGAGTGAAACAGTGGAGATGTCACCAGTGGTGGAGTTTTGCTGTTTCCCAGTCCAACATGTCGTGATGTTTCTGTTTTTTTAGATGAAGATGAGGTCGGAGACAGAATCACTGTCAGAAGTGATGAAGAACTCAAAGCCATGCTGTCATATGTGAGTACATAAATAAGTCCACTTTTCTTTGTTTTTCTTTTTTTTTGCCATGTCCTCGCTCTGTAAACAAGCCCGTCTTTGTAAAGTCTGACCTCCATACACATCCTCCACAACAGAAGGCCCCGTCCTCTTTTATCTGTTGACCGCTTCCTCACTTTGTGTCTCAAAGGGTTTGTTTCCCTGTCAAATCCAAATGAAGAATACAGCGTTCTTTACTCTAACACTCTGAACTCTGGTACATTTTACTGATGCAGGGCCCCAAAAATAAACCTGAATTTACTGGACATAATAACAAGAACATTTATTGATGTTAAAGTGTTAACGTGCAACATATCCGCCTGCAGATTTAGAATAGACTCAAAGACTTCTATTAAAGCATTTGTTAAAAATAAATCAGTTTGAAATGTTTAGAAAACCCACATTCTGACTCTCATAAACTCACAACCCATCCCGCTCCACCACCTAATTCAGCGTGTTTTCGTACTCCCCCATACTTACTGATCATGACATGGACAGTAAGAGTAATGGCATGTAATGAGCTGCTGTATGAGGTACACTGAAAGCTAAATGAACTGTCAATTTTTATTATTTATTATTCAGTACTTAAAGTTTTGCCTCATTAAAGAGCAGCCCCCCCGGGGTTCAAGAATTGTTCAAAATCTACTTTCATCTCTGGATGTCTTTTACCCCCCATCAGCTCACAATGATGCTCCGAGTGCCACAGGCACAGTTTACAGTCGCTGTTTTCCGTCCATCTTTATCACTTGTGGTTGCTTTTTAATCATTAGGCAGCACACAGGAGCAGCGTGATTAAGCCAGAGGAGACAGATGTGCTGAGGAGTGTTGTGAATAAGAGATAGAAAACACACTGACCTCACCAGAGGCTCCCGCCATATTTTAGGCTCCTCTGTAAATTTGCCCTGCAGAGCTGAGCTGTGTGTGACGACTGGGAGGAGCACAATATGTACCAACACATTTACAGGAGTTACCCATCTGCAGGGTTCAGATGTAAACAGCATATGAAAAAAAAATTACCTTCGTGTTTGTATGTGTCAGAAATGAAAGGGTGATGTAAATTCAACTGTATAATTTGGGTGTAAGGTCATAGATGTCATCCGATGTAAAGTTTATTTAAAATATGTAGATGTATAAAACATGTATATAAATATATTGCATATGTGTATTTAAAAAAGACATTATTTCCAGAATAATGTTGTTTTTAAAAGCTTAAAAGCTGCTTTAAAACAGCTCCAAGCTACAGATGGAGCTCTTCGTGTCCTTTGCACTATTTTTGGCATCATTTTGGAGCTGGACCCATGTGGGGTTTTTCCTTTGCTGATGCCAGTTATTTAGAGAACAAGGTGGCCGACTATTTTTCCACCTTTACTCGTTGGTGTGACGTGTGTGAGGTGCATGTTGACGCCTGACCCTGATCCGGGGCGTATTCCCCCCCCCCCACAAATATTTAGCATGCACACTTCGCTTCTTTGCTCACAGATTTAAAAACCCATTTGTTTGTGCATTTTTGGCAAATAATCTCGGTGTGCTTTAATGGATTTCCACCCCTGGGACAGCCGAGTGTACAAAAAGCTGCTGATCACCTGGAAAATACTGAGCTCACTCTGATATCATTTAAAGTAGTGGAGTAGTTTAAATGCTTTTTTTTTTTTTTGTGGTTGTTTGCTGTCGTTGCCATTTGGCCTCCATAGAGACCCCAAAGGTGGATTGGGGCTTCCATGCTATTAATTCCAGGTGAGCAGACAGCCATGTGAAATTAATAGGAATTAAAGGAAACGGCTTGTTCGGTGAAAGGTGGGATAATTCATTTTGTCTGGCGTTTTGTGCGCGCCGGTGTGTGTTGTTGTTGTTTCCGATAACAAAGTCATAATCACTTTTAAATATGCTGTCACTGCATGGGGTGATTTAGACCTTTAATTATTTATTTATGTCTCTTTTCCAGATCTCTTCTTTAACCTTTCCTCATAAAATAAAATAAAAACACAACCGATAGCTGAACTAAATTAATGCTCAATTTCAGCATTTAATTAACACGAGTGTGCGGAGGGCTTTTTTTGTGAAAACTCTCCCCATTAGTGAGAACATTGATTGCTACATCCTCCATCGAGACCCGTTAGACTTCCAGGCATCTCTAATCATTGTTCGACACCTTGAAAGACAGACGCCCCTGTTCAAAGTTAAAGACCTGTGTGTGTCAGGTGCTTAAAAAAAAAAACGCGTGACCTCATATCTTCCTCTTCCAGCTCCCCCTGGAGGTAGTGGCTCTAATTCCTGCGTTTCTACTCCCATTTCCCCTCCGCCTGTTAATGATGATGAGACCCGCGCTGCTCTCCTCTCTCCCGCGCGTCCCTTAAGGCTGAGTGATGCTATTTGGGATCGGACACTGTTTAGTTATTGGCCAACAATGGAGAATGTCTTTTAATAACACACCTACCACCGATTAGGTAGTAATTGCAGCCTTAATCAATAAGCTAGCAGAGCGGAAAATTAAAGGTACACGGAGCCCGGTCGCCTCCCAGAACCCGAACACACAGAGCTCGTTTTTGGGTATTAGGCCCATTGTTCAGATGTGGCCTAGCGAAAGGGCCGGGGGGCGAAAGCAGAGGGCTGGGAGCGAGGAGGGGATCTGACAGTGATAAATAGGCCTTTTAATAACAGCTGTGCCACATGGGTAGCCATTCTGATCCATTCCCATCCAAGCCGGTCCCTCGTCCTCCCTCCCTCCTCAACAATGAGAGACCACATTTACATATTGCTGCGATGGTTCACTCCGGATAGTAAATTAAACACAATGAACTCATCTAAGTGTGCTCTGCGTTAAGGCGCCTCGTAAAGTGTCTTTGTCTCCCGTAATCCCACCCGCCTTTTTTTTTTTTAAGCCTTCAAAAGTGGAGGCTGTGGAAAGAAGAAGTGGTGAGCGCGGGCTCTTCCACGTGCACACGCGGTGGCAGCTTAACAGATGGTTTGGTTAACTGAAACATCAATTATTGGGCCGCCTCGGCTCCGGGTCCTGTAGGATGCGAGTGTTTGGTGAGCTGCTGACCTGGAGGAGGAAAGGGTTAATGCTACAGTCCCTCAGAACAAGCCCACAGGGCATTGGCCCTCATCTGCAACAGATTTCAGCACAGCATGCGCACGCTTCTCAGAATAATGTGGATTCACACTGACCTCCGTAAAACCAACATTTTTGCTTGTGTGGGGAATATTCAAATGACAAATCCAGCAGGGCTTTTGTTCCCCCGTCTCGGACTGAGTTAAGATTATTTTGAACTCGCTCATTGTCCCTAAAACTGTTTTGGGCACATTTAAGATTTGTTTAGGGTATTTAAACCACTTTAGACCGCTATGGCTCTCAGCTTGATTTTTGTTTTCTCCCCTCCCTCAGTACTGCAACACAATGAACGAGCAGCGCATGAATGGACTCCTGCCCGACCCTCTGCAGATTTTTCCAAGAGGTAGAGTTGCTCTTTACAGTTTACAGTGGATTCTTAATGCTGAAATAATGTTCACATGATATCAAAGCCATGCAGTCTGTAGCTGAAGGACTAGAGCCGCTGGACAGCATTAAAACGTGATTCTGTTATTGTGGTGACTGTCCTTTATAGATCTGGATTTCCTTTACACCAAGGACATTGGCTTGGCATCCTTATGCTCACACTAAGTCTTTCCTGTATCTTTGGTTTTATGGAGTTTCTTCTTAAAGTGATTTATGAGTTATTTTTCGGTACATACTTTCCCCGCACTGTCTTATAGTTTTCAATCTAGTCAAAGTCATACATGATCACTAACGGACCCCAAGGGCGAAGTGATAAAACGTTCTTTATTTCACTTTTACTCCAAGTCTTTTATTTCTCGGTCTCCTCCACTGTTCTCAAACTCTTTGATTGTTTTTCCACTTTACCTACCACCGACTGTCTCAAGAGCCCAACATCTCAATCACGATCATGTCCACAGCTAATTTCAGAGTAACCCTCACTTCATTTGATCTTTTTTTATTTTTTTTATTTATAAAGAACTGATTCTTTTCCTGCACATTTGTAAATGGCTCGCTGATGTGTTCTACAATCTAGTCAATTACTGTTTCAGCCGGCAAGACTCCAGGGATCCGGAACATACATGGCCTGAAGGTACCCATCTCAATAATTGTTTCGGCTGCCTTACAGAGAACGAGGGGAGGGGAGGGTGGGAAGTTGAGTCAAATGGATTGGTAACGCTGTGTTCCACTTATTGAAATGTCAATTGAAGTCAAGGCTCTCCTTTTCTCTCACTCATTCTCTTGTTCCCCGCGTCCATGTTTATGCATGTGGGCGTCTGGCCGGGCCTCTCCTCCTCTCCTCCTCACTGCTCCTGCTTATTTCCTCTCATGCTGTTAGAGCCGGCTAAGATCAAGATGTTGATCTGAAAACCCTGATTCCCCTCCAGAGTACGATGATCCTCTCATGCCCTGTGATAGCTGGAATATCTGTGTTGGTTAGAGCAAACCCAGGCAATAAGATGTCATTGTTCAACCATGAAATTGTCATTACAAGTCCCCAAATGGCCTTCCACAGACCTTCCCATGTTATGTTCAGCATATGTTGCTATTGAAAGTCATTGCTAATTACCATGGGTTAAATGACTTGACACCTCCTCCATCTCTCCCGACAATGCACGTTACACCCATCTGCATTTCAATGGCAAAATTAACCCCCCACAAAAATATTGAAAGTGCTCCGTTTCGCGTGTCCTCGGAGGAGTCGCAGTAAAAACTCCTGAACCACGTCAGTCTTCCTTTTGTTTTAAGGTCAGAGGTCTGTTTTGAGAAAATGGCTTTCTCGACAAATCTTCAGTCTTTTTTTCTTGCATTCTTCTCCCTCTTTTCTTCTGGTATCCTACAAAAGTAATTGGCTGAGGGGAGCCTCGTGTGCCATTTAAATGAGGTTTTCCTGGGCACTAATTAAAGAGAGAATCCCTGTGCTGGAGTGGACCCAACACATTGGCCTTTTGACCTCAATTAATAAAGTATTTTTAGCATCTCTCATCTCTTAGTTTGTGCTCAACATTGGGGTTGAGTATGGAGGTCTTTGGAGTAAACATAGATGCAGCTAAATGAATAAAATGACAAGAAACAAAGTCCCATGTGAGCCGTGAACATTTCAGTGTCTGAACCCTCTGCGTGCTTTGCCAACCCATTTTCCTACGTCTCATTTCCCCACTGCTGGAACCTGTCTGGATTCAACTTGCTTTTATTCTCCTTTCTGTCTATAGACGCCTCTTTTTCAAATAATTTTCCTACCTCCCTCTTTTCTGAACTCTAATTAACCTCTGAGCTTTAGTAAAGGTCTGTTTTAGTTAGTTTTGGATGTCGGTGGGGGATGGGGGGGGTTCCTGTCTGTTGAGATGCTTTTGGCCTTGACCAATGAGCACGTGTTTGTGTGCCTTTTCCCATTTCTGTTTGTGTTTTTGCCCGTCTTCAGGTTAACACGAGGCCTAATCCAGCCAACGACTGCTCCAACGCTGTCCAGGACTCCATCACCAACAACAGGTCAGTGTTCCTGGAGCAGCACAAAACGCAGCTGTTGGAGCTGAAGCTGAGTAGTAACACCGGTTTGTTTTTGTTGTTTTTTCCAGATTGAAAAAGTCATCTGCTGAACTGAAGATGATCCTGACCAATGGGCAGGTGAGTTTGCCTTTTAGGCCGAAGTTAAATGCTTTAAAATATTATTATGGAACAGTTTGGAGAACATAAAGGCTACGCGTGTTCCCACACTACCGCGGAGGGAACTCTGTTTATCGGTTTCAAGGATAGCACACTACTTCCCCCCCCCCCGCTCTCTTAAACACACACACACACACACACACACACACACACACACACAGTAACCACTGTCAGGAAGACAATTAAGTCAACAGCCTCTCCGGTTTCTGCAGTGACACTGTGAACTAATAGAGTTGGTCTTCATCCATTTCTCCTCATTTTCTTCACCTCCCTCCTCCAGAGTCAGCCGGCTTTAAATTTGCGGCCCGTGTGTCATGTAAAAATGTGCTTTGAATTATTTTGTGACACCTTGACGTTTTCTTTTCAGTGAAAATTTTGCTTTGACAGTCCCGATTGATTAATAATGAATAATTCAGGCTAAAATGTTAACAGACTCAGTGCAAGGAAGTCATCTAAAATTCATTTTGTATGGTTATAGTTACATTTCTTTTATGCACCGTAACACAATGATTTGAATTTGTTAAATGAAAATATTATCACTGCTGAGGAGTTAAGTTATTTAATACATTATGTTAATAAAATCTTGAATTAAACATTTTTATTTTCCTGCTTTATCTCCAAGATTCATTTTACAGACGTAATGCTGTCTCATGAATTTGAGCCTCAGTCAGAAGGTGCCCAGAGTTCAAAGAGGGAGTTCAAGTTATTTTGACGATGTATCTTACTTAAGAAAATCATTTGAACTCTGTCTTGAATTGCTATAAACCCATTCTTTGTCAGAGAGTAGGCACATTTTCCGATATTATGATGGAGATTGCTGCTTTTAGAGGGGGAACTGTAGGAGGATGTTTAAAGGGGACTCTGAAAACTGTTTTAAAGCACGTTGGAGGAAAAATGAACATTTATAATGCAAGTCAGGTGAATGTTTTGGTGTCTGCGTGAACGAAAAGGGAACGACACTAAATTACTAAATCATTAGCTTATTATTTTTATTTGTCTGTTTAAAGAGACATCATTAACCTTGATATACATTTTGACTATTGATTTGAAAGTGGATAACAGGACTCGCTGTTAAAGAACTGATCTTTCTTGTCTTTTTGTTGACTAATGACAAACAAACCACCTTTAAACTCAACATCAGTCACTGTCCGGCTCACCCAAACACAATATCCTTTTATAAATTGGATAGAAAGTGTTGTATTGATCTCCTGCTGCTGTCCTCTCTGTTTTCCGTCCTCGTGTTGCTGAACTTGAGGTGACCTGGTGCCGGGCTTGTTTATAGCTTCCAACAATGACAGCCCCCCCGACATCACCTGGACGGGCTCGCTCCCTCCACCTGTTTACTTACACATACTATGGAGTGCTTACATTAGTTTCTCGTGTTCTAACGTATGAGGAACATTATTGTATCTGTGTTTGTTTCTCCGCAGATAAATGCTCAAGATATCCACTGTCAGGAGCAGCTGGGCCACGGAAACGGGGGCACAGTTTACAAGTAAGTGTAATCTCGCTGTAACGTCAGTGAAAAGAGGCCTGCTGAGGGAAGGGCTACTTTGGCTTATGTATTCAGTCAGATAAGTGTTTTTTTATTTGAAATTTTAGGCTACGGTTTACTTTTTGAGGGATTCTGCTCAGATCTAAAAGGGGAAAAGGGCCCACAGGAGTCTGAGGGTTTCCATCCCTCCCCACACACCCCTCCTCTTGCATTTGTCCATTTATCTCCTGGTGTTTGTGGTGACATCTATCAGGCTGGTTTGTGTCCGTACTTTCATTTATTTATTCTGGTTTGAAGGTTGCCAACATATATGTTATTGATCTGGGGCTGTAAGGTATGACAGCCATTGACTTAATCAGTTTGTAGTACAGCACTTTACCTGCCACCATGAATAGCTCCATCCTCCAGACAAATGTATTACTGACCCGCTAACGTTATGACAAGGTTGACATTTGTGCTGCTCTTTCTATCTTTCTTTCCCCACCTTTTGCTTTGTCTTTCCATCAATTCTTAGCTATTGAGCTGTTTTATAGAGATTGAAGTATTGATCACTGCTCAAACTAACCTTGACTTGACAGAGTGGTGCCTTAGACGGTCCGCAGCAAACCCAGTAAATTTCATTTTTATCTAGAAAACCACAAGACTATCTTTTCTTTATTTTTTCCATCCCCTGCATTTCTATGTTTTTTTTTTATGATTTTCACATTTTTCCATTAAGTTCCTGCCTTTTGCAGCCATAAGAGCATAAGATTGTTCATCAGTTTGGCACCAGAAGTGGTTACACTGCACTGAAGAAAGCCAATACTGCAAGCCCAACAACTTTTCAGTCAATTTAGCCCAGCAAAAAGAATCTATATGCACTGCTGCTGAAAATTTCATGGTTGAAAGGACAGGATAAGCAGAAAAAACAACAACTCATTGGTGAAATTAGCTTCTCTTTATGTATTTATTGTTTTATTTCATGTTCGTCATGATTGAACTGTATCTCCCTTATTTTTTCTTCACTCAGACGTGTGTGTGCAGCCAGGTGCAGTAAACTGGACAAAAACTTTTTGGACAGCTTGAAAACGCTGCCTTTTATCCACGTCCCTGAACACAGTCTCCCTCTGTCGTGACAAATAGCCAGTGCGCCGAACCTTGGACCTTGCTCGTATAAATTGAATTTAGCTGCTCTCAAAGTTTGCAGTTTCTTTTTCCTTTTCCCAAAATTTGGGCTGTAGGAAAGAGTGAATCCCGTTTGGCAGGTGAACATTAGCCTGTGCATCAGTGCTTTGTAATCGGCAGAAAGGCTACCTGTAAACCATAGTAAAGGCAAAAGTCCCGATGTTTAGCTTATTGATTACAAGACTGCAGATGGATCTTTTTCAGGAAAAAGATCCAGCATTACAGGGCACAAACCCTGCATATCGGTATGTTCTGCTCCCAAAATGAAAAAATCGAATGAAGGTGTGAGGGTAAAACTCAGTAAAACTAGGCAGTTTTACCCTGCACTGAGATTTCTACAGTCGTAGTAACATGGAAATCTGTGTGTTCGTAAGCCTGGCCTAGCTTTCTTTTTATACCAAAAAGGGAAAAATCTGGGGTTGGCCTACCTTAATGTGTCGCTAGACTGATGTTAAGCTAAAAGTGAAAATCAACATTTTGAAAATAACGTGAATTGTTTAAGTGGCCTTTATATCCCTCAAGATTGATCAACACCATAGATTTCTATTTCTTAACCACAGTCAGAAAAGGCCACTCAGAGTATCTACTGCCTGTTTGCAGCTTTAGCTGTTTTTGACAGGTTAAATAAACGTTTTTAGTTTGGTTGGGTTTTTCATCTCCTCAACATTTCCCCTAATTTTCTTTTAACAAAGAGTAGATTAGGGTGTGACCTTGATTCAGAGGTGAGAGGAGTGGACTCTGAATGGATCAACTTAATCTGCCCTCCGTCCCTGTTGACCTGCTCCTCAGCTTTGTTTCCATACGGGGACAAAAGAACATGGCAGTAAGGTGGATTAGCCACACATCCAAAGGTCTGGACATTTACTTTATTCCTTAACTTGAGATTCTATCTGGATATATTTGATATTTATGATTAAAAAAAACGTCTCTGTAACTGTAGGATGAAAATCATATGTTGATGTATTTTACTCCACCAGAGAATTACAAAATATAAAAGACACTCTTTGTTTATGTACATATTGAGAAAAAAAGCATGTGCAACACATCGAGAGTTCATTTAAACAAATTGGTTTTTTTTAGATACAGGAACTTAGTATGAAGTTTGCATGGATGCGTTTTGTTACTGGATAGAGACCTATTTTAAGCAGTTCTCAGCACCTGCCTCATACAGGCCTTATCCAGTAGGAATAGCCTCCCACCTTTTAACCTCTTAGCCCATTCGTGACCCCAAACCATTTAGACTCAATTGGATGTTACCATCAGCTCAGCCCTTCATAGCGACACACTGACCCGGCCATCCATCACAGCCTGCCTTTGTTTTTTATTACACACTCTCTGTCCACCAATCTAACCAACTCCATGGCTTATAAATACTATAACAAGGACACGCAGGCTATCTTTGGGACTCGTGGGTCTTGCAGCACAATGAAAGCATTTTGCTGCTGAGACGTCGATGCAGATACTCAAAACTCCTCCTTTTTTCCGTCTCTCAATTGTTTTTTTTGTTTTCTTTCAGTTCATTGATTAAATTGTATATAAAACGGTCAAACCTCTTTGGTAAAATGTAGTCACATTTTTAGATCGTGCTACAGTCTTTTTGAAGTTTCTAATGTTCCTCATATGTGGTTTAACAAATCTGCGTGAAGTGATTTTCATGAGGATTTGGTAGAAAATATTCTCTTGTCTCTCAGATACATGTTGTGTTACATTAGCAGTATCCTGATTTAGGCAAAGATACTCCAGACATTATTAATGAATCCTTTCAGATAGATTTTCTCGAATTCTCAGGGTCAAGGTTTTGTGTTGGGTTAGCTTCTTCAAATTATTTCCTTCATGCTTTTCTTCAGTCCACTGTAATTACAGATGACAGATGTGAGAATTTAAAAAATATGGTCAGTGTTTCCAAACCAATACATCTGCACATGCAGGGTTGGTAGAGCACAAAATTATCAGCAAAAGCCAAAATTATGTGGTTTTATAGACTTGTACCAAAGTAAAACACATATATAAATAGCTGAGTCACTGTAAATGTGTGTACAGTGATAGCTGTGTCCAAATGTTGGCTGTGAAACATTTAAGCATCAAGCACACAGTACAAAGAGCACTTGAGCTACAGTAACTCTACCCTGTAGGTGTCACATCTCTGCCTGTGTGTAATACACTAATGTGTGCTTTGCTGCTCTACAGCCTTGCAGTCCAGCCTTGCTTCAAACATAACTAGCTTAACAATGAGCCAGTAAGCTAGTACACTCATAGAAAAGTGTGACAGCTGTAATTATCTTTATGAAATGACACATAATCACAACATGCCTAGTGTCCTTTTCCTATTTTCTCAAGTATGGAAGGAAAAAAAACTGCCATTTTAACCCAGATTCTCGTCAGCACAGTCAAGTACAGACACTTTAAACGGGATTTCATTCATTTGGAAACAAGTGAGGAGTGGGTGTAGGCCAGCGTTTGCTCTCTATCCATCACAAAAGCCCTCCTCTTTGAGGAGCAACTCAGGAAAAATCCCTCTCATCTTTCTCCTTAAAATGTGATGGCTAATTAAAAGCCTATGCAAGCGTGTCCATGCAGGGCCCTGGATGTCTCTGTTTAGGGTTGCCTCTGCTATCAGGTGGGTATCAGGTGGAGCAGCCCGTGTGGAGGTGTAGCACGTATAGCCACGTTAGCCCTGATCCTGGAGCCCAGTTTCTGTAACCCACGGCCTCAACTTCAGAGACATCGAGAGAGGCCCTATGAATACTGCATGATGGAGCTTTTATTACAGAGCGAGCTGGAGTGTAAATAAGATCCAGGCAATGGGGCACGTTTACTGGGGTCAGATCAGGGGGAAGTAGCGGGTGGGGGTGAGTATGTAACCTTGTCCCCAAGTCTCCTGTCACCGGCCTGTCACTGTAACTCATACTGGGACGCTCGGCCCTGTGGTGGTCAAGGGCAGTCTGAGAATAAAGCTTTAACCACCCAGGACTCAGGCCTCATGTAGACTATGGGCTATATTACATCAGTTATAGGTCTTCCCTCTCTTAGCTATTTTATGTCTAATTAGGAGTTGGTTAATATCCTTTTAGTTTCTATCTTCTGAAACGAACAGTTGTCTGTTTTATCTATGTAAATTTAAATTAATTAAATATAGGTAATAGTGATAACTTCAGGGTGTCTTCCTTTGATCAGACTCTAAGCAAAGTTATCATTAAGCTTTTTCCTGAATGTGTCTTCCAGTATATCGTCTTATTAGTTGTCCTGACTTGTTTCTGTCTTCGTTATTTGTTTTACATCCTGCCCAGGCTTTATGTAACACGTCCACCCTGTGATCCTGCATCAGTTAACATCCTTGTCTTAATTAAGAGGCAGTCATCATGTTCAAACTGATATTGATTGTAGCTTGTAGAAAGACCGAGGCATCAGAATGAAAACGAGACAGCCAGCGTCTCAGGAAAGAGTTTGAGACTGATGGGGAAAAAACCTACTTTAGTCATGATAGGGTCTGTTCAGGAGAAATGATTATAACTATCTTTATTCTTCATTACTCGACCAACTGGTTATAGCTGTGAGAAAACTGTTTGCCCTAGGCATTAGATCAGCTATAATATAATATAAATATTACCATGATTATGAGGATGGACTAATCTTAATGCCTTTATGCTAAGTGAAGTTTTTTCTTTTTTTTCCCCTGAAATGCCGTATTTTCTTTTCTGCTTCAACAGTCAGACTGTTGCTAAAGACATCATGGTACAGCTACAGTCAGAGACCAGAGTTCCCCCTAACGGTGCACCGATAGCTAACATGGCACTAATGGGTGTCATTAATTAAAGGTGTGGGCCGGTTTTAAGGTGTCTGGCTGAAGAGGAACGTGATACTCCAAAGCTAGACGCATTAAGCACACTTCGCCTCATACGCGTCTCCAGATGACCCACCGATGGGCCACCGGTGTCTCTGTTACTGAGGCCGTCTTTGAGATAACCGGCCTGTTTGACGTACTCTGAACGCACCTCACCCCCGACCCGACATCTGCTGTGCGGTCCTCGTCCTTGAGGATTGTGTGTTAAGAGGTCGTGAGGTATTGTCATCGCTGCTGCAGACGAACCGTCCAGGGCAGTAACTCAAGCCGGCGCGGGGTATTAAGGTGTTTGCTAATTAAATCATTATAGGGCTGGTCGATGACTGCTGCTTTACTTGAAACCTTAAACTCTGTCTGGGACAACTTTGGGGTCGACTGCATCAGGTTTTTACTGCGACCTGAAGTCAGCTTTTACTTTAATTTATTTTGAACATTATAAACACTTTTCAATGATCTCTGATCCGTCGCGAAACCAACATATTCTAAAAAATTTTTACTTTGATGTAGCTTACTTTTCTTTCTTTCTTTCTTTCTTTCTTTCTTTGGTTGAGTTCTAGCCATTTTCATTGAATGGAGATAAACTATCATAAAACTGTCATAAAATCTGCAAATGTATGCACACGCTTTTAAAATGACTCCTGAGATTTCCCCCATTGAATATTATTGAAGTTTTATGGGGACATTTGCATGTCATAGGTGGCCAAATGTGCTGGGAAAAAAAGTATACGTATCTGTGAAATAAAGTGCTTTAATTATTTTAAAATTAAAGAAAAAAATTAGCTGTATGACTCTTTATGAATGTTTGCTTCCGAGCTTGCATTCATCTCTTGTCGCTTTAGTTTAATTTAATCTTTTGTTTCATCCCTCTAGAGCGTATCATGTTCATGGCAAGCGTGTTTTAGCTGTTAAGGTGAGATGCCTTTGTTTCAATTATAGTTCTGGCACTCTTTATCTCTCCATTGAATTAGCAACAGAATGTCAGTGTTAGATTTATGAATGCCAAGACTTTTTTTTTAAATTCCAGGTCATTCCTCTTGATATCACAGTGGAATTACAGAAGCAAATCATGTCTGAGTTAGAAATTCTCTACAAGGTAAGTGCAACAAACCCACTAATGAAAGGCCATTTATGTTTAATCGCTAAATTAGGGGCCAGCCATACACGCTCACATGCACATAGATGTAGTCAAAGGCATGTTAATTTACCTTTTATGTCTTAGGGACTTATTTCTCTCATGACTTTAACATGAAACCTCTTGGTCCAAATTTGGCACGTTACTAAACATGAAGTGACAGCCTGGAACAGAGGCATCGTCTCCTGGGCTTTTTTAAGGGGACGTTTTCATACAGAGGCGTAATTCGGATGGTTATCCCGACTGTGCAGAATTCTGTCGTGGATATATTAATTTCTCCCCAAAACGGGGGGGCTCATAAAGCTGAATTGGCTTTGAGCCCAGATTCCCTTCCTTTAATCCTGAGTGACCTTTTACCTTTCCATTCAAACCGCCGCACTCTTCCAGTCAAACTCTTTTTTGTGTCAAATTAGAATTCGAGTTATTGTTGAAACAAGCCACTGCGAATCATATTTAAAAGCTCTTTAATAACAAAATTCTGTGTTCTTGTTGCAGTGCGATTCACCCTACATCATCACTTTCTTCAGTGCCTTTTTCGTGGAGAACCGAATATCCATATGCACAGAGTTTATGGACGGTAAGTCTCCGTACCACTGGAGGAGAGACTGGGGGGGGGCAGTCTGCCGTCTCTCTGAGTATCCATTTACACTTCTGCAGATCAACAGAGTGTCTGATCTCCGTGAGCTGCTTACAGTGGCGGCGTGCTAAAAGGGCCTGATGACTGTTGACTGAAGTGCATTTGTAGGAATGTTTGTGTGCATGTGCCTGGGCGGGTGTGAGATGGGGGACTCTGTGTTTTTAGGTGTTTGCGGGACCGTTTGTCCAAGCGTGTTAATGCAGCAATTCCCATGTTTCACGCGTCTTTAACACAGAATTTCAGCAAACTCCGTGCAACTTCTGTGCCCTTTTTACTTTTTTAGTTTTTGTTTCTATTGGACTTGATTACTGAGAATTGTAAAGACTTTTGTATATTAAGCATATCTAGACGCTGTGGTGGATAAGACCATCGTCTGGGGGTCCTACTTATGACTCCAGGGGTGCTTGTTTTTCATAATTTATATTTCCAATATTGATATTTGTTCATGTTTAGCACAAGTCTATTTAAAGGTACTTTTTGGCAAAAGTGTTAATTAAGACTGGGGCTCATTTTGGACCCTGAGTAATTAAAAATAACACCTATCTTTTAATCTGCTGTTTAGGCAGTGCTTGATTTGAATATCGTGGTGTATTTTTTGTTATAATAAATGTCCCGGTTTATCCGGTCGTGCAGGAGGATCGTTGGATGTCTACAAAAGAATCCCGGAGCACGTCCTGGGGAGGATCGCAGTGGCTGTGAGTGAACTAACTTCACCTGTTTTAATATTCAGGCTTTAGATCTTCATAATGATTTCACGGTACGATCAGAAATAAAATGAAAAAGAGTCAAATTAAGTTACATTATTTTTAAGAGACTAGTATTTAATCGTGCAAAGTAACTAAACCACCCAGAAAATGTTTGCTTTAAAACTCTGCAAATAGGGAGAAATGGAAAAACAGGCTTTTTCTTTTGCATTTTGTCTTTCATGAGGACAAGTTAAAGAAGGCCAATGCTTATTATTGTAGATCAGAGTTAATGTATTTCTGCCCTTGAGTGGCCCTCTCTGTATACAGAGGGCTGGCTGCTCTTTATAGTTGACATGGATAACAGTACATTTCCTGGACAAGTGATGTGGCTGAATGTTATGAAAAAAGGGCATCAGCTTTGATAGTGAAGTCAACACAAAAAAAAAAAGAAAATAGACGTTAATTATACTCTAAAAAGATTAACTCATTTCGCGTGACTACTTCAAAGCCATTTGTGTAAGATCCAGGAAATTATATCAACTTGAGAAAAAAGGAATGAAGTGCCTCTTTGACACTGTGGATGCAACTTACATCGTAGTTCTGTTTTCTCTCAGCTTATTCTCTCAGTATTTGGTAAGATTTAAATACTTACTGCGAACAGCAACAGGTTAGCAAGGATGTCTTTCCTTCCTCCATTGAGGCATAACCAGTATTTACATTAACACGTACACATGCAAAGGTAGCTTTGTTACTGTGCCCCTTTGTAGTAATAATTTTATGACCAAAGCTACAAAAGGGCTCATCATTTTAAAGCCACGGCCAGAATAATACTGTTTGTGGAATAGTTTTTTTCAAACTGTTGGAAGAAATACAAATATCAACACATTTCTAGATGTTACTCTATTTGTTCATATAACCATTTTTTTTTGGGTTGTTTTTTTTTTTTTATCCAAGGCTGTTTAAATATTAAACAGAGTTACCCAAATGCTACATCAGGCAGAAGGATGCGGTAGCCTATTTATTTTGTAATCTTTGGTAAAAACCTTAAGCGGAAAGTTTACCGATGAAATAAACAGGGACCACAGGTGTGACTTTTTTAATTAGCCTTTATTATGTGGAGAGTCGGACGGAGCGACTTCTGTTTTCCTCATATGCTCCTGTTTCGCCCTCATCGTCTGCTCAGTTGAAACTAGCATTTTGAGTGAAACGGCCTTGATGTTGATTAATGTGACTCTTTTCCACACTCATTACCCTCCTCCTGTCTGCGGCTCCTCTTTGCTGTCCCTCTCCTGTAACTTTGTCCATAATCAAACAATGACAGCCATTTAGTCAGCGCTAATTCTAATTCACAGCTTACCCCGCTTTCCACTGTCACAGTTGTTAATTATCGCTGAACGAAAAGCACCCAAGAGGGTGCGAGTGAAGCTGCACATGCCAGTTGTTGCACTCACACCGCGGCCTTTCAAGGCAGCAGGACTTCAGAAAGCTTTTGTTTTCTTAATTCATCTCAGTGTGGCGTGTTGGAGCCTTGAGCCTACAGTCAGCTTTCACATCACATAAAAGAGTTAATTGCCACAAGGCAGCGTAATACATTTAGAGCTGTTTCATACTTAAATAAATATTCTTACTTATCTGGTGCTTTTACCAACTTGGTTTTGAAAGCAGCAGGCTCCGCCCCGATTCTTTAGCTCCTAGCTTGATCCTCTGATGCTCAAGGTTATCCTGTTAAGGCACATTTCCCTGGTTCCTCGTATTTGTAGTCCTATTAGTACAGTAGTTAGACAAAGCTTGACGCCAGAGCTAAAGAGTGGAATGATGATATCCCCACGAGAATCTGAGCTGCCATGTGACAGGTTTAGCAAATTATTGGGAAGGTTTTGCTGGTAAAGCAAAGATAGGCTAAACAAATTGGGACCCTGAAGTCGGTGTCAGACGGGGCGGGTACTAAGGTACTAGCTATGAAACTAGTACTGCTGTGAAATGGCCATTAACAATTCCCCGTGGTGTTAGTGAAATGGTTAAATATGCATTGTAAAGAGACTGAATATAACTGATAAAAGTTGGGCTGTTCAATGTATTTCAGCCCCACGGCACACCTCTTCATCATCCATTCCTCTTTATTTTTGTATTTTCCTTTAAACCAAAAATAAGGAGCTTTTAGCTCAATACATTACCCAACCAGTTATTTTTCATAGATTTTGTAAATCTGCTCAGTTTATGGGCAAAGTCAGCACAATAAAACCAGGACACACTATAGATATGAGTGTCTACCATTCAATGGAGATTTTTTACCAGATAAGCAGACGGCTTTCAAAATGAAAATGACTTGACTCTCCTTAGGTCCAGCTACCATGGTGGGTATTAACACTGCTGTCATTAAAGAAAATCTTGGTGTGAGTTAGATTTAAAATGCTCCGTTTGCTCCATGAATGCTCATTCTTTGCTGTGTTTCTGTTTTTCACTGCCTGTGTTTGTAGGTAGTCAAAGGCCTGACGTATCTGTGGAGCCTGAAGATACTTCACAGAGGTGGGAACGGTTGCTGTGTTATAAACAGAAAAAAGGGAAAACGGAGCAGAGCTGATAAAGACGAGCGGCCGAGTTGCTGATGCTGCAGTTCCATCAAGCAGTTTGTCTCCACAGATGTCAAGCCTTCCAATATGCTGGTGAACACCCGAGGACAAGTCAAGCTGTGCGACTTTGGTGTCAGCACACAGGTACGCTGATTTGTTTGTGTGAGAAACAGGAGAAGAAACGGGAAATAAGGGAAAGGGGAAGAAAAACTGTGGTTCAGGGGTGTGTGCAGGCGGTCAGCACGTCAATCACAGCATTCATATTCAGCTGAAGACATCGGTGCAATCCCAGAGGGGCTTTGTCTCACATTAACCACCCCCCCACTCTATTGTTCCACTGCCTACCAAAAAAATGGCTTGTTATAATTATGACCCA